CAAAAATAGGTCGTCAAACTTATTATTTTACCAATTAAAAACCAAATGACACCTTGTGTCGACACAAGGTGAAAAGAGTTGGCTATTAAGTTTCGAGAGAAAGAATCTGAGGGAAATGTACGTAGAGTGCATTCATGAAACCCAGATACCGGGGAGTACGAAAAGAGTAGAAACTTGAACACTACAAGTTTTTTTGGTAGGTTGAGTATTCAGATAGTTTTCTGAGGTAAAAAAGACTGGAGTGGACTGGGCACGTATGTCGTGTGAAATACCAATATAGTTCTAACTTTTACTCAATAAACCGGAAAGAGGCCACGAGAAAGACTACGTCAACGCTGGATAGACTGTAGGAATAGTGATCTGACGAAAGTGGATAGAACAACAAAAATAGAAGATGCGGAGGATAGAGATCATTGGAAAGATATAGAGCGATTTAAAAAGAAAATCTAAAAATACTAACTGTCAAGCAAAAATTGATATAACTATTAACTGACTACTAAAGATATGTACTTGTCAAAAAGATTCATATCCAAAGGGATTATTAAATATATAATATACCTAAATACAAATTCATACTAAATTGTTTATTATAAACATTTATAAGTGTGTACTGTGTATGTGTTATAACTTATAAGTATAATGTTTACTAATTAACTTTAAGAATGGTTTACCTGCAATAATATTATTTATAAATCTCCATAATCTCACTTCAAAACCATGAGAGGTTTTGTCATTTTTGAGGCCTACTGATGATGTTCGTTGTTAAAACATATTGTGTAAATGTATAATGTATATCTATTAAAATAATAGTAAATACCTGCTATTATGTAACAAAAATGCTGAAAAATATATTTTCATATTCTAAGTACAATGTTACTATTTTTAGCATTCTTCCTTTAACTGAATATAAATGAATACGTGCTTTTTCTCAATTTCATATTTGCTTCATTTTTATGCACCGCTGGATTAAGGCGGATATTTGAATACAGGCAATGCGGGATTTCTTTCTTATATCTATTCATTTACGTCTGGAGATGACGTGACAATATTATGAAGTTCATAAATCCACTAAAACCTTCTGCTCATAACCTACATCGATAATACATATATAATGAACCCAATCGGAAAGCAATGTATATATGTACTATTACGTTCCCTTATCACGAATGCAAATTTTATTAGTATTTAATTAAATGTTTATTAAATAACATAAAAATACACCTTTAGAATCGTAATTTTACTAGAGAAAATAAAATTCAAAATAAAACACTTCTTAGAAGAGATACAAATTCTTATTTTTATTTGAACAATCGTTTGGATACAAAATTATTAGATTACAAGATTATTCTACTTCAATTCATATTTATTATTTAAATAATACCAGTAGCAGTTTTTTTTAAGTAATATAGTTATTTAAAAAACCTTTCTTTTATTCTACACGAATAAAAACGTATGTAAATAGTTATATTTGTTTTGCAGTATTCAATTAAATATATTTAGATGTACCGTTCCCTTTGTTTATTTATATTAGCTGTTATTCGAATAGTATTGTTATTGGCTCATTATTTGTTCAAATAATGTTTGGACTATTTAAATAATACAGCATGTTGTAAATTGTTTTTTTTATTAGTTCCGATAGCTACCTAAAGAAAATCTTGATTTAATTTTTTTAATTATTTGACATGATCAAAATTTAATAAAACTACTTTTTTTTTAATGTTGCCAGTGTAAATCTCCTAAAAACCCGCCCGCCCCTCTAATCCCCTTAAGAGGACGCGGTATCCCTTACAGATTAAGCAGTTAAATTTTGTAAAATAGTTACGATAAATGTGTTTTAATTAGTCCATGATTTTTTTGGGGCAAAAACACCAATTAAAAATCGAAAGGTAATAACATTTTAGGGATTATATCATACCTGATTTTGAAAATAAGAACGTGAAAAAGGTAAAAAAATGTGACTTTTAATGTTAAATATTAAGCAAAATATTAGGTTTATTAAAAAAAGGACGTGGCTTCTTCTTCATCTTTACATCTTGTCTTCCTTCGTTTTTATTATAGGAATTGCTCTAAAATCATCATAGAACAAGTAATACACATTTTTCGTAAGTATGTTTTAACGAAGATTGGGTGTATGATGTCCTCTTGACAGAAAACGTTTAAATATTACTAGACTAACTAATCATCTAATGCGTAGTCATCAAATGAGTACCTAATAACTAAAGAGGATCCAATTATATATTTAACATGTGAAGTTACACTAACCATTGACCTTATTCTTACTGATCATACTTTGAAGAAAAAACAAATTTAACATTTCAAAATTCAAAGCAAAGACACCATCAATTTGTTTGCTTTCCCCAGAAGCACTGAACTCGATCGTAAATTATAAATTATAAAAATACTAATTTTGTGCTGTTATTGTTTGTTTAATTTGTTTTCCTTTTTATCTTCTTTTATACTACATATAAATCTTTTAAAAAATATAAAATAAATATAATTATATGTAAATAAATGTTGGTGAATTTTCTGAGGCTTAAACGATTATTTGAAGATTTATAAGCAAACAAAATAAATAATTGGTCGGTAATTTTATATGTTGGAACTAAATTTACACAAAGTAGACTAAAAGAGTAAAACTTAAAGCTAAGTCACTTTCTAAGGTTTAACTCTCTGCCATGGTGGGCCAATAAGGCCGATTTTTAATTTTCATTTTTAAGTATTCATATTTTATTTCATGATTTCTGTAATAGTTTAAATAATTTTTTAATTACACAATCAAAAGTTTGCAGTTATAAAAAAAACAGTTATCTTCCATAAAAATAAAAATAATTAATATCCGATAAATAGATACGCCATAAACTAGAAAGTGTTTTCTAAAATATTCATGTAAAACCAAACTTTTGCCATTACTCAGACAAAAAAAAACGTTAAAAGTTATGTAACTAGAAAAATCCAATATTCATTTACCCCGCAATAAGTTTGCATACTTAAAGTAGCTGATAAATCTAACTATGTCAATTATTGTCTATCCTTCGCCCTTTAACAAATAGCTCTCCCCCCCCTAAATAGCTCTTTAAAAAAAAGCGCATTATTCGCAAGATATGAAAACGGTTCATCGTTGATGAATTGCCTTATCCCAGGTAGTCGTTAAAATGATATACTAGTGGCCTCCGAAATATTATCCAAATTACTTCCGGCGACCTTTATGTCTTATCGTAACATTTAAAGTCAAAAAAGTACTAGTTGCTTTTAGCATTGGATAATAAATATTTTTTATCTGAATTGCCTTTTGCCCGAGAATATCTGATTTTGAAAATTGTACATCAATAGTTATTTTTATAATTTTCAATCTAACAAAATATGGCAATTTTACCATGCTTGACGGTTGTCGCTGTAGTTAGTTTTGTGTGTACTCCGAATTCCAATATCAATGTTGTTACAGACCAAAGTAGTCCGTGATGTTTTGCGTAATAAACACTGTTGGTAAATAATTTTAATTTTGTTAAATTCGTACAGTTTTATGATGGAAGTAATAGTTCAAAAAATGCTAAGTGAACAAAATTTTAAATTTTAAACGACTACAAATTTACTCTCCAAAGAAACTTCTAAATTATATTTAGCGATGGAACTGAACGAAAAAATCAGGCAGAGCTTTTCTTAAGCATCGATGATAAAATTATAGAAAGTATGTTATATATCATACTTATATTATACTATATCCTATACTGTTTACCTGGCTTATAAAGGATTGTTAGGAGGATTATTCGAGTATCTTCGGGAGGCAACTCAGATGAAAAATATTAACTACCCGTCAACTAGTAGTAGCTGTATAACCCTAAAAGTTACGATACAAACGGAGACAAATCATAGTTTTTAGAGACAATTTTTATACGCTCATTATTTTTCAACTTAACAAATACCAAATATTATGCGCAATTGTTTATCAACACCTATACCTATAACAATTAACATATTTTGGAATGGATTTAAATGTTATAGCTTATAAGTTAAAAGCTTTACATTTTAACAAAATAACTGGCAAAGGCTGGGTTTTTTGTTGATTATTATACCCATTTTTAACAATAAATAAATAATTTTTAGTTAAGTAGCTCAAACATATAAAAATAATTTAAGCACAATAAAAAATATTTCAAAAAACCTCCTAATATTTTTTTATTGAAAACCACAGTCTAATTTTAAATGTACTTTGAAACGCAAGGTCCGACAATAATTTGGAAACCGATTTAGATTTTTCAATACCTGATTGATGTATCGATCGAAGTACTTTTATTAATTTTATTTTAAAAACTACCAAAAATAAAAAAATGCAATTTTTCACATAGAAATTATTAATTAAATAAAACATTTTTAAAATAGTGCCACGATTGAAACCTTGTAAATGTTTCGACAGATCCAAATATTTTTTTAAAAATTTAAATCGGATTATTTTGAATAACTTTCTGATCGAAGTAGAAACATACGTTTTCATACAACAATAGAGCCTTTATTCGTTATAGAAATTTAAAAAAAAAACATTAAATATCAAAATAGATCCTCTTTCCCGTGCTAATATGGAAGTTTAATTATTTTAGCTTACTGTTAAGTTTTCGCTGCCTATACAATGCGCCTTAAAAAATGCTAATGTAGGTCCCTCAAAGGTTTTGACCTGTCCGTTTTTTAATTTTGAACCACGGAGTTCCGTACACGTCCGACTCGTGTTGGACGCGCGCTCGTCGCCACTAATCATGTAGATAGGTATCGTATTGTACACAATAATAATATCCGATTGTATGCATGTATGTATGTACAATATAAAATAGTACGCGTTGTGATATTGTAATGTACGTACACTATTAGCTGCTGGTGCTAGTATAATATTGTCGTTTGTACTGACAAACACACGATAGCGCGGCCTACGGTAATATTTTATTGCAGCGCTGGCGATCACTGTAAAGAGGCGGCGGCAGCGGCAAAGCTGGCCGAGCGACCGTTACCGGAGCCTCGCACGGTAGCAGTTCCGGATAACCCTCCAAGGTTTGCGCGCTAAAGCAGCCGCATCGCCGAATTTCGTCGTGCCGAGTACACACCCGCGAAGTGTATTTGTTTTGGTTTTTTGTTTTCGGCGCGCGATAGTCGGTGAGCATTTTTGTTTTTCGTTTTTTTTTCAATTTAATTTCTTACCCATAGCAAGTGTCGTAAAAAACGGTTCTTTAAAAAAAAAATCGGTTTTCGTTTGGAATATTATTTGTTTTTTTTTCAACTCGTCCACTTTCTTAATTAATTAATTTAATAATCGACGCCGTAGGTACCGTACGAATTCGGGGAGAAAAAAATACTCCACCCCGATCCGTGTTTAGTCGTTTTGTTGTGGCCGAAACACGCACAAGGACTAAAAAAACTAAACCGTCCTAGTTTCCCGCAGATTCGACCAACGGCAAAGGTAAACATATTATCACAATATTATTACTATTTTACTTTGGCGGCGTTTATCATTCGACCCGTGATAATATTATTGTGAATTGTTAAAATACGATTAATAATTCCAACTATCGGTATAATAATAATAATAGTAATTAAAACCGTGTAAACAACAATGTTGTTGTTATTATAAATACACTTGTATTGCCGGTACTTGTGAGATTACCCGCCATTATTATTTATTAATCGCGTGTAAAGGTAGGTCAAAAATTTTCGATTAAGAACCGCCGCATTTTGCCGCTTTTCGTAAATAATTCGTCGATTAAACATGTCGTCTGAACTTCAGTCGTTTTCCGCGTTTAACAGAAGATCATGTTATAGTCGAAGCGGAGAATGACAGCCGTTGGCAAACACCTAAATTATTAATAGAATTACCTAAGCTTCGAGTATTACCGATAGTGATAATTTGCTATGGTACAACTTTGGACACGACCCTCGTGTATCGGATCTGTGTACTTGCTACTTATCGCCAAATTAATTGACAGCAGGCAGCTCCTACTGTTTTCCGGATAAAAAATCTATTTTGGTCTACAATTAATATTTTATACGTGCGTTAATCATTTCTTGCTCCACCGACTGTTCTTAATTTTACTATTTTCCACAATAAAATTAAAAATGCAGCCTTGGCAAAACAAACGGGTAAATAAAAAAAATGTATTTATACACTGAAGTTTTTATAAATGCGTTTAAAACATAAAGAAATAGTATTTTTCAACATAATTATTTAAAATACACAATTCCGACTAACAACGGTAATTAGACGCTATAAATAAAAAAACGAACACAACTTTTTTTTATTTTTAGACTTTTTTAAGACTTATACATTTTGATACCGTTGTTCCTTTGTTGTCACACAAACAAGTGACACCGCCGTCACCGTAAAGTTCACCAATAACAATAATTGACTAACACGAGATAGGTTACTTCCGTGCTCAATTCTCGTTTGTGCGTTTTTTATTTCAATTCTATTTCGTCCGTGACAACGAATATATTTTATGCACAGCGAGCGTACCTCATATTACACAAGTTCAGACGACCGCGATGGCTGAGCTGAGTTCACTGACGTTAGACTACGGCGGTTACCTACTTATTACTATTACCACAATAATTATATTGTACTTTTTTAATGTAGCTAATTTGCAGAAGAAAACAAATCAATAATCATAGAATTCATACCTTGTAGGATTAGCTCCTGTATATATTTGTTTCTATGCACAATACAATTTATAGATTTACTTTAACTCACTAAAGTTGACCTTAAATCACGGTAATTACTTAACGATGCACGTTATAACGCCTCTGATGAGTGGATATCACCAAGAGACTCGATCACATATTATTTAAAAATAAATACATTTTTCATTTTATAAATTTATTGAAAACTTTTAATTGGTGTCGCTCTCATCAGTAATCTAGATCGGGTTTCCTTTAAAACTTAAAGTTAAAGTTAACGTTACATTTTGGAAATTAATCTTTATTAAAGATAAAAAAAATATGCTTATATAGATTAATTAATTTGTTTATATTTTTTAAAATAGTTGTTTATTTTTGAGCATTAATAAATAATTTGTGACGAATATTATATAATGTATACTTCATAGTTTTCATTATATCACACATAATATAAACACATAATGTTTAAATCATAAGGTGAAAGCACTTTCCAATGTGTCACCAAGACATTTTTCAAAAAATATTTGTTTTGTTAAAAGGTTTAGCATTTCTAGGTAAGCTAAAGGTCCGATTTTTATTTTAAAAGTATTGTCTAAGCTTTTTTTTATTTTTTTTATCCACCTTTCCCTAAATTCAGAGGAAAATAACTTACTTAGTTAACTTAAAAAATATAATATTCAGTTATGGTAAAATTAGTCGCCATGTTTAAAAGATCAGTTTATATCAAATATTTCCCTTGAAGACAAATTAATGTTGTTGACAGATTCAAGTTCCGACAGCAAAAAAAAATAGCCCAACAAAATGTGTAATATTAAATGTCCGCAAGTTTTTTTATGTATAAATCCATATAATATAGTTACTGTAAATTGTAATATTATAGTAAAGTTAAAATAATAAAAAAAAGTAATTTTTCATAATACCAAAAAAAAACCAATTTACCGAATTATAATCATACAAACTTATTGAACAATATGGTATGTAATTTTGTTATTAAGATTTGAAAAAGGTTACCTTCTTTGGAAATGTTCTTTTAACGTACAGGTGTATTTATCAAAAATCACACAGAATATTGCACTGAAGACGTGGTGTACGGGCTGATAGTAAATACTTTGTGAATCATTAACGCTGATCGCGCATTAGGTGCTTGATAAAGGGGGAAATAGACCGTTAGCCGTGAAATGTTGTTAAATCAACTACGTGCAATCGAATGGGTCAGAGTTAATAACGTACAATGAAGTTCACGGTCGCGGCCAAAGTCTTTATACATTCTATCTTTATACGTTATTAATAGTAAAGCAATACGTTCATAACAATGCAGGTATGCGATACGGTCATAAGATTATACTCTGAATGATTATACTAAAAATGATTAAAAAATTAATTTGATGGAATCGCAATAATTCATAAAAATAAAAACATATTGTCTTAGTTCATTTTTGGCAAATAATAATGTAAAAAAAAAAACGCTGTACAAATATTAATTTTTTAAATTTAGTTACAATAAATTCTATTACTTACTTTTGAAAAGAGCATAACATTTTTTATTTTCTAACAAACTTGTACTGGTTTAAATTTAGTACTATCAGTGTTTAAATAGTAAACATGTGTATTGTGATATTCCAGACAACAAAGTATCGATCTTTTCAAAATATGATTTGCATGAACAACTCATAAACAATAAAACACATTTTTATAACGTTTACATATATAACTTCATTGGAAAAAATTAATATTTGTTTGTACAGTAAGAGATAGGTAAAGCAAACTTGATGTTATTCTTTTGAAAGCCAAGTACATTTAGTATCAGTAAAACTAGTTTTTACATAAAAAGATATACACCGCTGTACATTTTTCTTAAAATATCTATACCCGCATCTGTTTGTCGTAGAGTTCAGAAATGTAGCGGTCTTAAAATATTTATGTAAATGCCGCTTAAAGTTGGAGTAGTATAGGAAAGATTGTACCATAAATACTTAAAAACGTTTTCCAAAATTTGTTGTCTGTTTTTCATCTTAAACGTTATACCGATATAAGTGCGTACAAGTGTTTTCTAAACGAGTAAAAGTTTTGAACTACAAACTTCTTAACAATTAGTGATCGTGTCTCTGAAATCGTGCATTTCAAATTTCAGATTAGAGAATTCCCATGGTTTTCTCGAAATCAAAATTTTTAAATAATTTATCTAATATTAACTAATTAAAATGGCGTTTTTATTGTTTAAAACTACAACTTTTTTGTTGTTACAAGTATGTCACATTAAAAGGAAAGTGTATCTAATTTTTCCAAAAACATAGTGTATATTTAATATTTGGGTACAATTTATAATTATACACTAGGTATAGTATCTAAATTATAATATAATTATAATTATATAGTGTAAACGTATAGTACGTGAACGTGTACACGTTTCTCTCGCATTTTGGTTTTAGAAAAGAGAAGAAAACACCCTACTTTTTCCGACTATCACAGTAGTTTCCTTTTAAATGATCATAATTATTATATGGTAATACCGTTGAATACATAAAACGAAATAATAATATACGCCCTGTAGTTGTCTTAAAAGGTCACATTAACATAAACGAGAACCTTTCTAAGTAATAAAAACAATTATACTATTATTATAAACGAAAAAAAAAGGGAAAAATGTCGACCGCAGACTTTGTCACCATAATTATTATTATTTTGAATAATTTCAACTTACCGTTGAATTAAAACTTATCAAGTTATTAGGTAGGTACAACATGTCAGGGTTCGTAGGAAAATCTAAATTTTAATGAGATTTTTTAAAAGTATTTTTAATTATTATAAAACACAATATATAAAATACATTGCTAAATGCTACACGTCGCTCAAGTGCAAAAAAATGTTTTTCTAGATTACGTAACGAGTTCTCAATGATGATTGAAATTTGGATCAAAACCACCATCAACATTTTTTTATCTCCTTTAGAGTCACACATCACATTTTTTATCCAATTATTTTGACGGTGGTTTCAATATAATACCACTATGACTCAAAATGTTTTTTTAAAGGCAAAACGAATTCTGAACAGTATTCAGTAGTTATATTTTTGCATATTATATCTTTAAAACCAACTAATATTCCATTGTATTCTATAATTATAAAATATTATTACGCGCGAATACCAAACAATGTGTAATATAATATGAATTTAAGTATTTTTAAATTAGTTTTAGGTTCCATCTCTTCCATCAATTTTTCTTATTATTTAAACGTTATTTTAACTTAACTTACTTACCTTGAAAGTCAGGTTTAATTATTAACATATTTACTGATAGATATAACTTTTCAAAAAGTAATGAGCATTGCAAAATCATTAATTACCTACCTACATTTTTGAAAATTTGATTTAAATAATTTACACATCCCGTATAGATAATATTTTAATTTTATGATTTTTTACAACAATAAATATTATGTTAATGTACTGATACGGTATATTAAACAAAATATTATATTTTCATTAACATTTGGCGACTATTTCAAAACTATAACTATGTAGGTGAGAATTCGTTAGTAGTAATGGGTACGGCTTATAAAACTCAATTTTTCACTATTCCTACATCAGCTGCGGTGTCCGAGTGGTTAAGGAGTTGGACTTGAAATCCAATGGGCTCTGCCCGCACAGGTTCGAACCCTGTCCACAGCGAATTTGGTACAACATTTTTTGCATTTTTTTTTTTACTTAAACCATTGAATAATGTATAATGGATTTAAGATACTAAAATATTTTTGATGCGTTATCAGTTTAATATCAACAAATGATCG